AGGAATGTCAAGTAGGCAATTAAGTAGCCATCCCTCAGTATCTGCAAAGGATTGGTTCCGGGACCCTCTCAGTTACCAAAATCCACAGATGCTCAAGTCTCTTCTATAAAATGGCGCAGTATTTGCAAGTAACCTAAATACATCCTCCCACGTACTATACTTGAATCAACTCTACAGTATTTACAAGTAATCTTAGCATCAGATCTAAGTGAAAAGGAAGATATATACATAAACCTCATTGGCGTGTCTTTTTTAGTGAACCATCTTTTCCTTTTTATTTTATAAAATTATTTATTTCTTTGAAGTTTTTTTTAAAAAACATTTTATTTGACCAGAGAGGGACAGAGTGAGAAAGAGAGAGAGAGAAAGCAAGCCACCAGATCTGGGACTCGAGCCGTGGTCGGCCATGTGTACACTCACTGGAGAGACAGAGAGAGAGAGAGAAAGCAAGAAATCACCCCTAAGGGGGACGGCAACGTCACAATACCTTCTCCTCCATTCTTCTCTTGGGATCTTGGGCATGCACACACATACGCCCAGCATGAGTTTTAAGACACTGGGTCCGGGATTTGAACTGCAGTCAACTATGTGGGAGTCCAGCGACATAATCATTATGCCATCTGCTGGTCCCTCTTCCTTCATTTTAAAACAACTGATGTGGCCTGGCTGCCTCTGTATTTTGTTGATCTGCAGATGCAGAACCTGCAGATATGGAGGGCCGACTGTAAGTGAATCAGGTGCATGAGGGAGAAAACAGGGCTGGAAATAGGAATCTGAGCATCATTAGCACACTGACTCATACTGAAAACCTAAGGACCAGATGAGATCACCTAGGAAGGATGTGGCACAGAAGACTACCAACACAGGCCTGGGGCATCTCAAGGCATAGAGAAGGAGCTGGCCGAAGAGTCCGAGAGGCCAGTGAGGGAGAAGGGAAATTAGAGGGTGTCTCCTAAGGAAGAAGAAAGTATCTTGAGAAATACTTATTTCTCGCACCTATCCATCAGTAAATCTGACCTAAGGAAGCTACATTCAAAATGCATCAGATTGTGATACATCCTACCAACTCCACTATCATATCCTGATTTAATACCAGATCACCTTCACTTCTAATTTTTTTTCTTTTTTTTTTTGGAGAGGTTTTAGCTATAGGGCATGTGCGCTTGCCAGAAAGACAGAGACAGAGAGACAGAAAGCGAGAAATCACCCCCCAGGGGGGATGGTCACGCCGCAATCCCTTCTCCTCCCTTCTCCTCTCGGGATCTTGGGCACGCACGCACACGCGCCCGGCGTGAGTTTTAAGCCACCGGGTCCGGGACGCGAACCGCGGTCGACTACGTGGGAGTCCAGCGACATAGCCATTACGCTAACTGCTGGTCCCCACTCCTAATTTTTTAAACCACTGATCAAAGTTCTTCCCCTCTCCACCTTAAAATGCATTTTTAAAATAATTATTTTATTTATTATTATTATTACTTAATATTTTTGTTTGGAGAGGTTTTTGCTATAGTGCGCGTGCGCTCGCCAGACAGACAGAGAGAGACAGAGAGTGAGAAAT